ATAACCTGGAGATACTACGATATATTTTGACAATAATAATATTGATAATTGATATACGTGATATGTTTCACCGCTTATATTCTCTTTGGCTTTTGTGTATTATATACGTTGTTTTTACACTAAATATGTGTTTTTTTTCTGAACAATTTGATGTATATAACTAATTTTTTTTTTTTTTTTGGAGATACTTAATAGTATTGTTTTGGCAACGACGATAATATATACAACAATAATAACCATTTTACAACATTTTCAATATTTTTAGGACATAATTAATTCCGAGCAAGTCCGAGTTAGTCGTTTTATATAAGTATATACTCCGTTCCACGAGAGTCCATAATTATGTCGAAACACGTCCGTCGCAGAGCATCGGCGACAGCCGTCGTGCATACGGAGCGACTGCAGCAAACCGTGTGTTTACGTAATATGATAATTAGTGGTGTGTAATTCACGAATGAATCAGTTCACTGAATTGATTCACCGAGGTGAATCGAATGAATTGATTCGGTATCTACGAAAGAGTCGATTCACTAGTGGCAACACTGTAATTTGCGGTTTTGAGAGTGAATCAGCCGAATCAGGGAATGAATCAAGCTATGGAATCAAGAGTGAATCTACTATCTTTTAAAAGAATTAAATACTCATTGTTTAATGTTTACACTTTAAAGTTTTAAGTAAATAATATATTATTATTATACCACGTTATACAATATACATTATTAATTATTTTATTTTGATCATACTATTTACTAATTATAATTCACGAATCACTTTCTTTTACAATTATACATTATTTTACGGTTTACACAAAATACAAACGTCAAAAATGAAAAAAAATCATAACTATAACACAAACGACACATTATCGGCATTATAAAAATAGTGAGTACTGAATAGTGATTCATTAGTCATTTATTAAAATATTAAATAATATACTAGACCTATTTTAAATTATAATTTAAAAAAAAAAACAATTTGTTCGACCTTTTTACTTAACAACCTACTACGTTTTGTCGATACAATTTGTCCACTTTTAGAGAAAACTCTTTCACTTGGTACTGATGTAGCTTGAATACACAATCGCTTTTTCATCATTATAAAAAGTGTAGGATATATTTGCCTATTGTTATTCCACCATTTTAAGGGATCTTGTGTTCTAGGGATTGGAGGCTCTTGAAGATACTTATCAACTTCTACAATTATTGTTGCTGTTGGATTCAGAAACTGTACGACATTTTCAACTCCTGCATCAAATTCTTGCCAAATTGAATTTTCTTTTCCAATATTGTTTAAAACAGCAGGAACACTTACATTTTGGTCTATGGCAGATCTTAACTTTGTGACTATCAGTTTACCTTTGTTTACTATAATCTCCTTAATTTTTTTAAAAGACTGTTCATTCTGAAAGCCATATTTTTTGAACCGTGGGTCTAAAAATGTAGTCTCTGACAACAGTGGATTCGACTCATACTGGAGATAATTTCCAAATCTTTTATTTATTTCCAATTTTAATTTATTGACCATATTATTTACTTGTGGAGTTAGATATTTTGTTGGTAATTGTGTACTTTATGTTATCAATGCTTGACTGTACAAAATTACTTTAGAAATTGATACACTTTTTTCACTACTCAGATCTGTGGTTATTTCCTTAAACCGTTTCAATATATCACAAGACTGTGTAAGGGTATTCCAATCGTTCAAAGTCAATTCTACGTCACGATTTGAATTGGACAATGCTGATATTATTGGTGTCTTAAGGTGAACAAATCTTTGGAACATATCAAAAGTAGAGTTCCACCGAGTAATGACGTCTTGGATAAGCATCAGCGTTGGAGTAAAACCTAATTGCTCTTGAATCTTATTTAAACTCTCAGATGTATTCGTACTTCTTTTAAAGAATTCCACTATTGATTTTACCTTTTCCCTTGTTTCATTAATTTCATTTAATGATGATTGTACTATTAAATTCAAATTATGAGCAAAACACTTCTATAGGTGTTTCTACACCTTAGATGGAACAAAAAAAGTCATTCTGCCTTATAAAATAATTATATAAACATTATGAATCAAACTTGCGTTTAACCAAAAAAACCCAAACATGGAAATTATCACCTTTATTATTGATAGTTCGACTATGGTCATAAGGACTTTTTTTGTTCCAATTGAGGTGTAGAAACATCTCTAGAAGTTTGACACATTTATACACCTTGTATAATGAATTTATATTTCAAATTGGGAAAATGGGAACTCATAATAATACATATAATTTAGTTTCAGTAAGATATATTGTAGGTATCTACTATCTATTGTGGCATTAGGGTGCATCTATTGTCATTGCATCATGCTATTAAGATAAGACCAGAGAATATATGACATAATTAGGGTTTAAAATAATATGGAACTATATTATATTATAGTACTCTGGTACTATAGTACTAACTATAATAATTCAGTAAATGAAAAATATAAATAATTGTTGCAAAACTGGTATTGTATATTTTCCAAATAAATTTACAAAAAGAAATTCTGTCTTCAATCTCATTTTAGTACTCAACAAATCATACTCTTGTTTGGTTTTATGATTTTATAAATAATAAAAAATAAATAAATAATCAATATTGGTATAATAACTATTAAATATAATTAAAGGTAAAAAACCACAACATAATAAACATTTTATGCTTTGAAGTTTGAATCTTCAATGTAAAAAAATATAACATTTTAACACAATTATGATACAGAGTGAGAGACTGACTCTCACTGAGAGTGATTCGTAGCAGTCATTGAGTCACTGAATCATTGAATTGATTCCGTGAACCGATTCATTTTAATGAGCTGAATCACATGAATTAATTCATTAAAATGAATTGAAAGTACCCATCACTAACGATAATTCATTAACAATTCATCAGCAGTGTTTTTATGATCCGCTGTATTCACGTTGCCGAGTGGTGAGGACGGCACTATGGTGGGAGAAAATTCGGCGGGCAGTCGTCATTGCGATCGTCAGTCTCGATGCGCGTATATAAGGACTCTCGTGGAACGGAGTATAGGTACCTAATGTTATTTCAATCAAGTAAAAATAATAATTATTATGGTACTTATATCATAATTATTCATAATAATCAACAATAATAGACATCGTAATCAACGTCGTATAATTATTTACGTTGTGATTCCGGGAACAAATACAGTGGAATATATAGGTACCGCAAAAAATAAAATAATAACTGAACAGACGTTGATTGCGTGGTTTTGTCGAATTCGCTGTAATAATATCTTTCTCACTAAAGTTTAATCGTTACGCTCGTAAATTGTGATAAATGTGCGCGATAACGAATGGATACCTAGTATACCTACAGATATTTTTAGATTGTTTACTGGCCTTTTGGGGGACTGGTTAAAAATTTTTCGCAGGCAGGATGCTGAGGGCCATATAGCTATATAGTTCATCGACCACATGTATATACGCTGTCAGGTAATATTTTATCATCCGCCCAATCACCTTATTTCTACAGCTATATTACTATAGATTGTATAAGCAAAACAAAAATAATAAAAATACTTATATTAATAATTTAGGTATAATAATATATAATACTACCTATAACTCATATATATTAATTTTAATATATTATTATAATAGCTAGGATAGTATTATATATGGTATAACCTAATATTTAACCTATAATATAATACACATAGTTATAAAAAAAAAGTACCTAATGAGCATATTATAATATTATTACTGCAATATAATTATAAATGCCCCTATATATAGATGTCACTATTATTTATTATTATTTAATGTAATTTTCATAATGTTTGTTATTTCTTGGAATTTTATCTTTAATTCAATTTAAACCTAAATATAATATTAAAATCGCAATGGATGGAATTAAAAGTTGTTATTTAAAAACCTTTGCAATATTACAAAATACGTTCGTTTTTAATACTATGAGCAAAATGCTTCAGCAACGCTTTGGCAATATTGTATATTTAATATTAAAAAATTAATGGTAATTAAATTTAAACGCAATATTTCATATTTAAAAATGTTATCTGGGACATGTAATCAATTTTTTATTTATCAATTAAGCTCAATTAAAAATATAATTAATAAATACATTTTTATATATTTATAGCTCATGATGAGCGTAAAGAAATTAATGAAATTATTGCGCAACAATGAACAAATATTCAGTGGTGAACTTAAAGATTGGTGGTGGCGAATAGAATTTCAAAACCGTGGTAGTCCGCACCTTCACATGGTGGTATGGATCGAGAACTATCCATCGTTCGACACAACAGAAGGAATGATCAAACTTGATTAGGTTTGTACTTGCGAAATGCCACCTGAAAATGACGAGCTGTATGAAATTGTGAAACGATGCCAAACGCACCCTCATACTGCAACATGTGAAAAAAAACAATACGAGGTGTCGGTTAAATTTTCCTAGACAAGTCTGTACTGAAACTCGTATTATATGTCACTCTTCAGATAACTTTATTCGGAGTGGAGGAAGAATGTGCCTTTTGAAGCGCAGAAAAGAGGATGAAAATATTAATAATTATAATCGGACACTCAAGGAAAGGAAACATGGATATTCAACCGTGCGGCTAACCGTAAATCTATCGCCTATTACATTGCAAAGTACATAGCCAAAGCTGAGCCTCCAGAAGTACATCGCAGCATAGCTCAAGCAATTCAACAAATTCAGCGTGAAGAAAGCAACATATCTTGGAAGTTGTTTAAAGTTTACATGAAAATACTAAATGAGCGTCAAGTTTCAGCCTGTGAATGTGCTTTTCGTTTGTGTCACCTAAACTTACGGGAATGTTCAAGAATGAGTGTTTTTTTGAACATCCGTAAACCTGAACAACGATATAAAGTTATAAAATTTAACGAATAAGGTAATACAACTGGATACTGTGCAAATATTTTTGAAAGGTATGAAAAACGTCCAGTTCAACATCAAGATTATAACTTTAACAACATGACACTCATGGAATTTGCAATGCGATTTAAGTCTCACTATGCCAAAACACAGGAAGAAGAAGAAGAAGAAAGCGTTGACAACGACGCCTACGATGATTTAGCCGTGAGGGGGCGCAAAAAGTTAATTACACTTACAGATAATAGTAAAATGGTTGTGAGAAACAAAACGGCTGTAGTAAGAGTTCCATACTTTGTTGCTTCCACGGATCCAGAAAACTTCTATTACAATTTACTTTTACAATACATGCCCTATCACTTAGAACCAGAATTGCTGGAAGAATTCAATTCCAGCAAAGAAGCATTCATGGCACGCGAAGAAACTTTAAAAAGAAACAGTTCCGTGAACGAGACAGACAACTTCAAAATGCTTTTGATCAAATTCACGCTTTCGAAATTCTTGATGCGGAGCCATCAGAGGTAGGAGAACATTTTGAAGATGCCGAAGAACCAAGGAAATGAAGAACAATATCAACAAAATTGTCAAGCAATGAACCTCGGTCAAAGAGCAGTTTAAAAAAAGATAGCAGAAAGTATACGTCACCAGTTAGAAGGAAACCAACACCGGGAACGCCTTTTTATAACTGGTCAAGCTGGAACTGGTAAAACTTTGTTACACCAACTTAAAAATCTTATCAATCGATATTACGGTAAACAAGCAGTAAAGGTTTGCTCCTTAGCAGACGTTGTTGCACGGTTAGTTGGAGGAAGAACCTTGCATAGTGCATTAAAATTACCAGTTCAAAAAGATGGCAGAATTGTTGGAATGCCATTGCTAACGGGAAATTGGCTTAAAGTTATGAGACAACAATGGAAAGATACAGAGTATTTTTTTATAGATGAAATCTCAATGGTGCCGTACGAAATGTTATGTATGATTGACTCAAGCTTGAAACAACTAAAAAATAATGAAGATTTTTAGGAGGAATAAATATTTTGGTATTTAGAGACTTAATGCAGTTACCTCCGGTTAGAGCTTCTCAAGTTTTTCAACAACCTGAACGTATGATTCCAGCTACACATCTTTGGCGATTGTTTTCGCTTGTCGATTTGATAGAAAATATGAGACAACAAGGAGATCAAACATTCATTGATATATTAAATGCATTGAGAGTTGGAGAGCTGATGCAAAGCCAAATTGAAATATTTATTAACAAACAAAGCTCTGACACGGATGGAGAATTTGCACTTGAGAAGGCCTTAAGGATCTACCCAACTAATGACCAAGTTAACAATCATAATCAAAAAGTGCTTAATTATTTCAAAAGCAAAGGTGTCAAATGTGGAAAATCAAAGCACAAGATAAATTAGTGGATTCGACGAGAAAACTTGAGAATTGGCGATACCATTGACTCTATTATTTCTAAAGATAATGACAAAACTGGAGGTTTGCCAAAGGAAATTGAAATTTTCGTAATAGCTAAAGTTATGCTTAGAACCAACTCAAATGTAACTCAAGGACTTGTAAATGGTGCAATAGGAAATATCACAGAGATAAACTGGCCCAATTTTGCTAGAGAACAACTTTAAGATGAATGTATACCAACATCAATTCGCATCGACTTTGGAAGAGATGGTATCCATTAAATCGAGCCCATAACTATTCAGTTTCCTGTGATGCACAGTTATGGTACTGCTGACCGTAGAATGTTGCCAGTAATTTTGTCATGGGCATTAACCGCACACAAGTTACAGGGCTCCACCGTCGATCATGCTGTCGTTTATCTTGGACCAAGGCTCTTTGCAAAAGGACAAGCTTACGTTACTCTTAGCAGAGTGAAATCCTTGCAAGGCCTCAGAATTGAACAATTAGACTGTTCAAAGCTGATGGGAAGAACACCATGCAATATTGACGCCCTCGAAGAAATGGAAAAAATGAGAAAAATGAAATAATTTTAATATAGTCTTACATATTTACTTACTATGAAAAAAAAAATTTAATAAGCTAATTTAACAAATTTATACTATTTATACTATGCATATTAGAATGTACCGTTAGTAAAAAAAAATATGCTTTCAAAAAATCCTTTGATTCTAATTTATTGTTATCACTAAAAAGTAGAAAATAAAAAAAATGAAATTTTTTTTTTAAAAACATGCTTTTCTTAATTATTCTACTTAATACATGAACTAAAAAGTTGAAAATAAACTTACTTTTAAAACAATTTCTTAATGAAATTTCAAGGTTATCAAGATATTACTAAAAGTGTATCTAAAATGTATTTGTTGCAAAATTTTTAAAACTTGTGAATTACAAAAAACGAAATGAATGGGGCTCCTATGAGTCAAGAATATCTCTTACAAAATTGGAAGTATGATCAATAATCTTTAAAATACTTATCATAAAGTTTATCTATTGATTCAGTTGTAGAGTGACTTTACATAGGAGTTATCATAAGTGATATAAAACGATAAATAACAGATTTTGCTCAAAAATTCCCGTTATTCCTTAATTTGTATGTGTTTAATCCCGGCGCTTGTGAAAACTATTGGGAATTTTAAAATTTGACCTCCCGAACGCACCGAGGCACTTAATTAATTAATTGAAAAATTAAATATAATAGATCAAATAATTGATAAGTTATAATTTAATTTTAAATTTTAAATTTTAGTTTCTAATTTTTTCATTTGTATTAACCTAACTACCTATCTGTATGCAAAATTTGAACTTCCTAGGTCATCTGAAACTATGTTAGAATTTTGATCTATAGGTCAGTCAGTGATAAAAATGACGATTTTGGGACGTTAATAGATATTGCAGAAATATGCAAATTCAAACTTCGTTTGATAAGACGAAAAAATTTTATAAGACAAAATTATAACTTGTCTAAAATAACCTACTGGCTACTATATCACTATACTCCTTTTCAAAAGAGAATATACCGGTCAGTGACCAATTTATGTGGCGCGCCTTCCCTACAAATTTTCCATTGATAGCGTCATCACGTGGTTCGCGACGCACCAATCGAATCATTCAACATGCGTGAAAACGGAATCACTGGGTTTTTCAGTCCATTATATTGTGGCGGCGCAGCCATCACATGATTTCCTCCCGTACGATGCTAGCACTGTAAGGCGTTGGTCACCCCCCTCCAAACCAACGGCCGGCTTCGCACGGCTGCTACGGTCTAGCCGCCGTCCGGACCGTTTTCTCTCTTCTCCCAAAACTTCGCGATAATCAACACGCTCTCACCAGTTACCTCTAATATATATTTAAACCTCGTGACCAACGCTGTGTATCTTAGAAATACCTTTTGTATATTCGTTATTGTTACTTTTTTCGGCATTCGCCTTTGTAATAAAAAAACCAAAACATTACCTACGAACCACCTTGTTCTTCTTCATCCGTCTTTTTTGTCACGAACACGTGATCTGTTGGAGGCAGTCGGCACTAATCATACCGACTCCTCCACAATATCATAGAACAATATTATATCTTGGTCTGTGGTTTATCACGATTGTCAATTATCTTTTATCTAAAGGCTGATATCTGAAATTACTTTACCTTACCCGCTCTTAAAGCACGGGCGTAATCTGGAAGCAATTTCCTGGACGTTTCCATATTTATAGATAGGTATAATTTATAAGGTAATTGATTACCTATTACAAATTAGAACCGTGGAGTCATGTACAGTGTAAACATATTAATTTATATTTATGTTACCGAATACTGACTATTGTTGAGTATTTTATTGTAGGAATGCTATAAAAGTTAACAATACCTATGTCATATAGGCTAAAAGATAACATACTCGATAAAATGAAAAGGATATTATTTTATATTTCCTTTGTTTTGAACATTGTCAGATACAATAATTATCCATAAGCATTTAATAAGTAGTAATTATTAACAAATATTTTATATTGCACACCGAATTATAATTATCAAGCTCGTATCCATTTACAAAGTATTTAGTATTTAATAGACTATAATATTGTCCTTATTCACTAGTGTTTGAAGAAGAATAACTCTGGAAGTTTTCGTTCAAATTTCGATTACGAGACAAAATATTTCCATATTTAATTTCCAGAAAAATTATCTGAATCACATTTTGCTTTAAAATATATAGGTTGGTTTTCATTTTTTAAAAAAAAAGGTGGTATCGCCACAGGATACTCCTTGAATGTTGTGAAAAATCTACGTACTCGAAATTATCGTCTTTAATGACACTTAAAAATTCCAAAAATCAAAATTTGAATATATGCATAATTAGAGCATAAAAATGGGGTGAGCATGCTTAAAAAATCACCCTGTATATACGTAATATCTTAAAATGAATTAACAAATGTTGAGTGATTGTAATTGAGTATAGGTATAGTACAATTCATCCTAAAAGTCTCCACTATATATGAATTATAACAAAAGGTGCTCTGCTGTACAGTAGGTTACAAGTGGGTCACTGTATAATGGATGGTATTAAATTTGAATTCAATGATAAAATATCATTCTATAAGAAAAACGATTCTGAGTGGAGACGGTATGTCATTCTAGGTATAAGACATATATACTTACTGATGGTATAAAAAAAAAAATGACCTATAATAAATTCCAAATTAATAATTTCACAATATCCATTAGGTACTTATAACGCATTGCCGTAAAAGCGGGATACTTTGATCCAAATGTATGACTTTTTAAGTTTAAACCTATACCATAACTTCAATAACAAAGATAAAAATTACCTGTTCGCGTTGTTTTATATGTATACATGTTGAAAGATAAGAACAATTAAAAAAAATCCGATTTTTGAACTAGTGACTTACTTATTTTTTAACAACATTTTGGAACAAAGTTAAAATACATTGCAGGTGACATTGCACTATGATTACAATTACCTTACTTTGATGCATATAATTACTATTGGTGCAATGTTTAATACCTGTGTTTTAACTTATTTGAACCTATATATAATATAATAATAACAACTATTTTTTTTTTTTTTTTTAGTTCATTGAAAGACTTTTTTCTATATATTTTAAACAAAATAACAATAGCAAACTTAGAGAAATATTAGTTTTTAACAAAATTAAAATTTAACAGTCTCTTATAATTACCATAATAGGTAATGCAATATTAAAAATACAAATAACTTTTTTGGCAATAAAAATAACATATCAGACTTATGAATTGTATATTATTATCACATAGGTAGGTAATTAAGAGGTATATTCATCCAACTCTACAACTTTAAAGTATCATCGTCTCACAAACACTGGTGGTTTTATTTTCATTAAAATATCACTCCACTTGTGGAACATTGTATCTTCCTTAATTGGCCATTTATAAATTGCATAGAATAAATTGCATTTATAAATCCATAGATTTGACAATGGCACCATCTACGTCAACACTAGTTATTATACCCGGGTACATATTATTAAGATAATTCACAATCACAAAATTATTGACAGCATATTTTCCATCACTGGTCACTGGGCAATCATCTACATCACATACTGAACTTGATTCACTATTAGTATTGATTAGTATGGCTTCCGAATTTATATTAGCATCAATGTCTGATAACTCATCATCAACATGCGCATATTTTGTTCCTGCAGGAACTTTAATTTTTTTCCTTTTTGTTGTAGGCTGTGTGGTTTCTGCTCTTTTAACTTTTTAATGTTCAATAAATGATTCTTTTACACTAGAACTTGCATTTAAAGCATTAGGAAGTCTATTCAATAATTCCTCAACTCCACAAGGAAATATATCACACTTCCTAAATCCATTTTGCAATGTAGTTTTTAATGTTGGTTCCAATACATCCAAAAGTTTTTTTAATAATCCTGGAAATGACTGCTTTTGAAGGATTGTTATCTTAGATAGTAGATTGTTGTTAAAAAATTTAACGTGTCTACCATTTCTGTCCAAATAAGACTTAATAATAAATTTAAGATCAGTCTTATCAATAGGAAAGCCATATTCACTCATAACATGAATGTCCCCAACAAAATTGTTCTCCTCTGGTTCAGTAAATACAGTGGGACGTCCCACAGGCTGTACATGATGGGCTTTTAATTTGTTAATAATTGTTAGCCGAGGAATTTTGAAGGCTTTTTCAGCTTCTTGTTGAGTCATTTGTTTAGTCTTCACAGCAAGTAAACAACGTTGTAGTGTGTGTTCTGTATAGTTTTTATAGAGCCTTGAACCCACAGTTTGTTTGTACTTGTTAGGCATGCTAAAATAAAATAAAATAGTAAATAAAAATAATGTTTGGAGCAAAGTTACATTAAATTCTATGATTTTTGGTTTATTTATCAAAATACAGATAAATATTTAAAAATAACAATAAAAGTGGAATAAACTATATATATTTTTGAAATTATAAGTATGCTACTAATTAAAATACTTTTTACCTGGTTTTTAAATTTCAATCCTGTAGATTTTGGACAACTTTTCCGTTGCATTTTTTTTGTTTTTGATAACAACTCTTAACACGACATACTCCTTAGAGGCAAACTGACAAGTTGATGTACGAGACGTTTCTACGGAAGCGCAGTAGTGCCACATAGAAAAAAATATTGTCTCCAAATTTCGACTTAGCAACTCGAAATTTCGACTTATCAATTCGGAATTTCAACTTAACAACTCAAAATTTCGACATAACAACGCGAAATTTTGACTTACCAACTCGGAATTTCGACCAGTTAAATTCTAAATTCTCTATGGTAAATCATGGCACAAAATATGGAAAATACCTAGTTATATACCAAGATATACCTAGGTATATTTTAGTCCGTACTCCGTATTCCGTTAATATGGTTATTTATATAATGTGAAGATAAGAACAAAGGAAATAACTAATAATAATACAATTTTTGTTCTTTGTCAATTGTAATTTGTGGGGAATCTGTCCTGTACGTCCCGTTGACAGTTGAGTGGTAGTCTGTAGTGCTGTAGTTCCACATGTTTAATAAGTATATTAAGTATAAAATAAGTATATAATATTTACAAATAACCATGTCGACTAGCATAAAAGAATTTTTGATTGAAAGATGCATACAAGATGCCGAATATATAGCTGATGAAATGCAAGATCAAAAGGTAAGAGTTTTTAAAATTAAACGTTGAATATTTAAATGAGATTTGAAATATGGGGAAGGGTGACTATTAAATTGCCTTGTAGTGCATTCACTCTATATCCTATTGTGTCTTTTTATTGTAGTCTGATAGGTGGGTATTAATTTATAATTTATACTGTCTAAAATTCTTTATGCTAACTGTGATTTGTTAAAATGTAAATATTGAGTGACTTCAATATGATATCATACATAAAAATAATAATATCAGTTCTAATCAGTCAGTAATGTAATGTCAGTCAAGTTCTAGTCAGTTAAATGTCAGTGAATATAATATTAAGTTATATTATTATTTAAGTATAATTAAGTGTAGGTATACCTACTTAATAGTCAAAAAATAACATTATGTTTTATATGTAGGTACCTACATATATGAATATTTATTGTCTACAAATACTATTTTATGTAAGTCGTCTGTTCTATATTCTTGTGGATGCCAATCTTAGCCATATTCTTATTGTGGTTTTTATAGTGTGTTCTATGCCATCTTTGTGTAAATTCAAAGTTACATCTACTTTAACATACACAATTATTTATTTTCAATTGGAAAATGTTGAATAAATGACTACAATATTTATTTGATAAATGGTTAACTCCTTACAAGCATTTTTTGAGTTATTTTTACCATTAAAATTGTGATTCTAATTTCAGTACATATAACTATTTACTTTTTACAATGCTTTACTGTATAAGTGTTTATTCTATCTTAAAGTATAGGTAGTAAGTACTATAAGAATGGGGTAAACTATACACAAAATTTACTATTTTTTTTTCAAACATTTCTGAAAATAATGAATCTAAAATTCTGTAAAATATGTTCAAAAAGTACATGTACAAGATAATTATAAGCTCCAAAAAATGAAATTTGTCATATTTGAGTTTTTATTAAAGTTTAAGATTGTCCGGAGGTAACCCAAAATGGGGTACATTGAACACCCATATTAATTCATAGAAAAACCATAGGTACTATCATCATAGCGGTTAACTTTGAACTATATTTCATGTTTTAAAAAAAAATATAGATGTTGGACCATACAGTTTTTTTTTGTTAATCTTTTAATTAATACACATTTGTTATTACGTACTAAGCAATGGTGGCTGAAGTTAAACACAAAATACCACATTTTTAAACTTATGAGTTATGAATAATGCTATTAACTAGATTTTTTTAAAATTATCTTATATTGATACTCATTAATAGTTGACTTTAAAGTGTCCAAAATTACAAATTCATTGAAAAAAAAAACTTTCCTTCAATAGTTTAATTACATTAACACAATGTTTTGTTACTATTATAAGTATTATAAAAATTGAGTTTATTGAATATAAATTTACCCTGTAAGTCTAGAACCACCCCATTTTACGGTACCTGATTGTTGTGCTTAGATAATCTCAATAGCTTCTAATTAATACGTACAAGTGATTCTAATTGACAAATCATATTTCAGATTAATATAGATGTTCTAAAAACAATGACTACTGAAGATCGCGTATTGAAAACGTACATACCTAGTTATGGAGACCGTTTAGCATTGTTAAATTTTTCCAAACAAAGCAGTTCACCCAAAAGAAAATCTGCTCTTTTTGATAAGCCAATTTCCAAAGTAAAAAAAAAGGATGATGACATTAATGAGTCAGAAATCAATGCTACAAATAAAGGGTAGGTACTTATTATATTAAACTTAAGAGTTTTAAATTATTTATTACAGGAAAATATTTATTTTTTAATCATTAACTTAATAAGTTTTATTCCAGTTTCATTGGAACTCTAGGAGAGCTATAAGCTACTTGTCATTAAAAAATGTAAACCCTTATGGGTGGATTACAAATATATTATACGAATAGTGTTTTAGTTTTGTTTATTTCTAGTTAGTCGGGAAAAAAAGAGTTAATATTATTTTAACATCAACCCGTCAAATTTTTACGGAAAATCATTGAAATAAATATATGTTTGTATTTGTATACAGCTTAGCCTTGAGGAATGCATCATTGCAGAGGTACATTGAAATTGGATGGCTTCATTTTCAACAGTCTGCATATAAACAGGTATTATTAGGTATATTGAAAATATTATAACAGGTAGTTATTATAACCTATTCTTAATATCTTAAAGATATTATCCCCATTTATCATATTTAAATATGATTATATTAGTTTTGTATTATATTTTTTTAATGACATTGTCCATCAACATTTTTATATATGCCTACTACCTAGTTATTATATTTTTAGGTTAGAACTATTAGTGGTGGTGGTACAAGGAAAGTACGATTACAAAAATCATTGTGCAAGTCTTCTATAATTGATTTGGCTAAAGGATTATTTTTTCTTGATGGGAAATCATCTAAAGGAATGATTGATCAATTTTCCATAAACTTATTTGACTTTCAGAAAAATGATTTACCTGATGACTTGTCAGTAGGTGAATTATATGCTAAGACAGGTAAACCACACTATTAAAATAATTATTAATAATAAAAAAAAAAAAGTTGTATAAAATTTAATACCTTATCAATATTTTTTATATATTATATTAGTATTAATTTTATTTGTATTTAGGTTTGAATTCAATAAGATTTTATTTTGCAACAAAACAGTCTTCAGTTCTTTTGTCTTCATTAACAAATTCAGAATCACATTTGTCGGTAACTTCCTATACACCGTCACCACCACCTGTCAAGAATGTTGATCAAAATGAACAACCCGTAGATGAACTATCTACTTATAATATGTGGTCAATTACACCGTCACCACCACCTGTCAATAATGATGATCAAAATGAACAACCAGTAGACAGGTCTTCAGAAAATTGTTCACTTATTTACACTGTCACCACTCTTGTCAATAATTAGAACAAAATGAACAATCCATACAGTTTTACAGTACTCTTAATGAACACAATTATTTTAATATGCCAGAACCATGTGTAGAAACATTAAATTAATTCTCACAGAGGTCGTATTTTTGTTGAATTAATGGAAGCATTTAAAAACATTAAAAACTGTTCTTCTAAAATAGAATTTGAGTTAATTTTGCAAATGGAGTTCAGAAAATGCTGTAGTTTTGGATGGTGTATAAAGATGTAATGTCTGAGTTTGTCAAGCTTCTATGAACATGGCTACTAACTGGATGTCACTGGAAAATTCCAACTATTAGGCATGATTTTCAGTAAGAAGAATGGCAAGTAATTGCAAAAATAATCTATGTAGGTTGGAGATATGTGAATTATCTACCAATAAGTTTAGCTTTACCTTTTATGGAGTCGGTTCTTGTGAAAATAAAGCTAATACACCGGATTTAGTAGAAGTTTTTTAAACACACTTAATTTTAAAAATCTAAAGATTCTTGAAAGTTCTATTAAAGAATTTTCAAAAATTGATCATGAAGAGTGTTGGATGTTCTTCAAGAATTTGATTGTCGTTATTAGTGCATGAACATAATATAAATGCTGTTATTCTCCGAAATTGCGCATCAAAGAAGTTAATTCAGCGTCAAAGTCTATATTGATAAATGGTCCCGAAGAGCTAAAGGTAAAATTGATAATCAAAAATAGTGGAAGAAGAATATAAAACAAGATCCCAACATCAACAAATATAATAAAAATCTCTATTGTCCAGAAAAAGATATCAATGAAGTCAAGCGTAAAATCTTTGGGTTTTTGAAAAAATTTATTCGTGAAGCTGATCAAATGCTTTTGCACAAGGTTACTTCATTCATAAATGGAGCAGATATTATAACATCTAGCATTAATGTCAACTTTAATTCTATGAAAGATGGTTTTTCTCGATCTCCAGTTGCTCATACTTGTACTAATACATTGGATTTGCCTTTGACTTACGATAGCTTCATAGATTTAAGATGTGAGTTAACATCCTTTATCATCAATGTTTGGGTTATGGATGTAGCATGACTTATAACTATAAGTTTGTAATTTTATTGTTTTTTTCTTTCTGTTAAAATATAAATATAATTTGTTTTGCTAAATTTATATTATTTATATTACAAATATTTAATGTTCCTTAAGCTTTTTTTTTTATGACTGATTTGTTTATTTATTTTAATACAGAGAGAATCTGTTACTAATTGTTTTATAATATT